GAACAAAAACTATGGGTGGATGTGCTACCTGAGAATCGTAATCCAGCAAAGGGATTGGTGATGAAATATATAGCTCATACTGTGATTGATGGAAGAGTGGAAATTGATATTGATGAAGAAGACGCAAATCACAAAATTTTGGAGAAATTCTTTCATCATGTATGTTCTTGGAGAAGATCTTAGCATGAATTTGGTTAAGAACTATATGATAAAATCCTATAATTATGTGCAGCTCCCTGACATTTTCTATCATTATGAAGGTTACTTCATTCTCCGATTCAAATCCAGCAAGGAGATGGATGCGATTTTGATGAAGGGACCTTATACATTCAGAGGTATACCGATGATTCTGAAAGAATGGAAACCAGGATTCAATCTCAAGAAGGATATGATGAGGATAATTCCTATATGGATAAAATTCCATATGCTTCCATTGAACCTATGGGGGATATAATCTGAGTATGATGGCTAGTGAGTTTGGTACTCCAATTGTAATAGATGAATGCACTGCAAACGAGTTAAGGGTGTCTATGCTAGAGTTCTAGTGGAAGTGGACATAACTCAAAAACTTCTTGAAGAGATTAGCATCAAGGACAAGGAGGGGAATTATGTCATACAAAAAGTGGAGTATGAATGGAGACCCAAATATTGTGATAAATGTCAAGCTGTGAGGCACAATTATGAAGTTAGGAACAAGAGGAAGCAGTGGCAACCAATGAACAAGCCTACAGTTACTGAAGAGAAGCCTGATATTGAGACTGATACTACTCTAAATGTAATCTCTACAGGGGCAGCGAAAAACATAGAGGTAATCACTACTACTAAAGGGAATAATAGTAATAATTTTGATCTATTTGATGAGGATATTTGGATTGTGATAAGTAAACAGGGCAGAGTCAGAGGGAAATCATTTGGTCATGTAGGTACATCTCCTGAGATTCCTTGTGCTAATGGCTATGGGGTGCTAGGGGGTTTGAATGAGCCTCTAGTTACCTTTGACAGGGGACCATGATAGTGTCTTGGAATGTACGGGGGTTAAATAATGTTGGGAAGTTAAAAAAGATTAGCTCCCGTCTCTTAAGACTTCAGCCAACAATTAGCATTTTGATTGAAACTAGAGCAAAAGAGAATAAAGCTAACAAGGTTAGAGAGAAAATCAACATGAAAAGGTGCTACCTGGACAACTACAGTACTCATCCTAATGGAAGGATTTGGATGATTTTGGATAATACAGAGGTGGATTTGAGAATGATAAACAATTCAAGTCAACATATTCATTGTGATGTGTATTTTATTACAGGGGAACTCCTTTATTGGTTGACTGCAATATATGCCCACAACCAATTAGGAGAACTTTGTGGGGAAAATTGATAGCATTCATGATACTTAAACAAGATCTTGGTGTGTTATAGGGGACTTCAACAATGTTGCTACTACTCAGGATATAATAGGAGGGAATTTGGTTAGTGAAAGTGAATACATAGATTTGACCAATATGATGAAGAAAACAGGGTTGGTATAGATGGATACTGTGGGTGACCACTTCACTTGGTCAAATAAACATGCAATAGGAACCATATATTCTAGGATTGATAGAGCCATTTGCAGTGTTGCTTGGTTTCTGCAGCATATCAATCATGTCCTGAGTATACTGCCTTCCAATGTCTCTGACCATTCCATGCTTCATATTAGAGGCCATGTTGATATTAAGAGGAAAAATCACTTCAAATTCAATAACTATCTTCTGGATTTAAATGGCTTCCAAGAGATGGCCAAGGATTCTTGGGATAAACCTGCAAGGGGGAGTCCAATGCATATTCTTTGGTGCAAACTTCAAAGGTTAAAGATAGCTATCAAGATTTTTAGCAAGTAGTCTAGTAATCTAAAGCAGAGGTTAAATAAAGCAAGAGATAATCTTCACAAAGCTCAAACTGACCTAATGCACCATAGGCAGGATAACAATACTATTGAGCATATAAAGTAGCTTACTGATGAAGTCGTCAAGCTACATGATCATGAGAAGAATAAGATTATGCAGAGGGCCAAGATAGATTGGATTAGACAAGGTGATGGTAATAATATGTTCTTCTTTGCTTATCTGAAAGCTAGACAGAACAAAGACTGTATTAAATTCCTGCAAAAAGATGATGGGGAGATCATAATTGATCGAAATAATATTGAAAAAGAGGTTATGGACTTCTATCGTGGCCTAATGGGAGATAATGATAAAAGAATTAAGCACATTAATGTGAAGGCTATGAGGGATGGTAATCAAATACATGTGGAGCAAAAGGAGTACCTTGTGAGTAAAGTGTCTAATAAGGAAATTGAAGAAGCCACTAAAGGTATATGTGATAATAAATCCCCTGGTATAGATGGTTTAAGTGTAAAGCTCTTCAAGAATTGTTGGAAAATTATGAAGTTTGATGTTATTGCTGATGTTAATGAGTTTTTCAGGACTGGATTGATTCATAAAGGCTTCAATAAAACAATGGTAACTCTTATCCCTAAGGGTGATAGTGCCAAACGTATCAAAGACTTTAGGCCTATTGCTGGTTGCACTGTCTTCCTCAAGATTATTTCAAAAGTGCTCACAGCTAGAATGAGGAATATTATGCTTGGTATTATCAATAAGAATCAAGTTGCCTTTGTTGTTGGTCAAGATATTCATAATCACATTCATTTAGCTTATGAGCTTCTAAAGGGATATGATAGGAATAAAGGAACTCCTAGATATATGTTTCAAATAGAGCTTAAGAAGGCCTATGCTATGGTCTATTGGGGTGCCTTGGAGAACATAATGAAGGAGATTGGATTTCCTAATAGATTTGTGAGTTGGGTGATGAACCCGATAACTTCTATTTACTATATTTTCAATATAAATGGAAGCTATTCAAATATCTTGTAGGCCAAGAGGGGGATCAGGCAGGGTGATCCTATATCCCCTATTCTCTTTGTGATCATGATTGAATATCTTAACATATGCATGGTGAAGATGCAAAAAGATCCTAATTTCAATCATGACGCAAAGTGTGAGAATCTTACTTTGACCAACCTCGCTTTTGCTGATGATATTCTCTTATTCAGTAGAGAGATCAGGTTTCTGTTGATATTCTGATGACAGTGTTCAAGAATTTTTTTGATTCCACTGGTCTCATTTTTAACCCTAGGAAATGCAAAGTTTTCTTTGGTAGTGTTGATATGAAGACCAGGACAAGTATAAAAGCTTCTACGGGTTTTGATGAAGGGAATTTTCCTGTCAGATATTTGGGCGTCCCTTTTAGCAGTAAAAAGATCAACATTTAACACTATTTGCCCCCCATTGGCAAGATAACTGGGAGAATAAGACATTGGTCTACCAAGCTTCTTAGTTATGCTGGTAGAATCCAATTGATCAAAAGCATTATTTGCTATGTTACTCAATACTAGATGCTGAATTTCCCTCTCCCTAAGGCCGTTATCAAAAGAATCAATGCAGTTTGCAGATCTTTTCTTTGGATAGGTAAAGCAGAAGTGAGTAGAAAAAGTCTTGTGGCTTGGAGTAAAGTTTGCAGTCCCATTATGCAAGGGGTTTAGGGCTGATTGATTTGACAGTTTGGAATCAAGTGACTCTATTAAAATGCCTCTGGAACATTTGTAATAAAAGTGATAGTTTGTGGGTAAAGTGAATTCATAAGATTTATCTAAAAGAAACTGATATTATGGAAGTTGAAACTGGGCAGAACTGGACTTGGATCATGAAGAAAATTGTGAATCACAAGCATTTGGTTAATACAGTTCAACAACTTTGGAATCAACGAAACATGTATATAAGACTCTGATTGATGATTGTAGCAGAATGCAGTGGAGTAGCTTATTACTGCATAATATGGCTAGACCTAAGGCTAAGATTACTATGTGGCTTTTGTGTCATGGAAATCTTCCAACCAAGAATAAACTCACAATACTTGTATGATTCAAGACATTGTTTGCAGCATGTGTGACATAGAAGATGAAAGTGCATACCACATCTTCTTCACTTGTATTAAAATCTTTGAAGTTTGGAAAGCTATTTTAAAGTGGCCGGGTATTACTCATAATTCGGGGCCTTGGAATGTTGAGATAAATTAGATTTTAGCTAATACTAAAGGAAAGGATTGGAGGTAATCGATTCTGAAGTTTGCCATCACTAAAGCTATTCATGAGATATAGCTTTACAGAACTCAATCATATTTGATAGTGATACTAATAGGAACAATATAGTGGAGAAAATTATTGATTGTATAGTGTATAGAGGTTGGAGAAATAGAAAGATTAGACTGCACCTTGCAAGTCTAATGATTTAGATTTTTTAATCGTTTGTGGTGGTTGAATCCTATTAGATTGCCTTATTTGTAAAGTTTTTTAAATTAATGTATTTGTTTGGTTAAAATAAATAAATAAATAATTAACTGTTGAAACTTATTTACAGAACTATTTGCATATTTTAGGCTTTAATTAATTACAATGAAGATTTAGATAAACAAATTCTTACTCCGTCCAACTCAACTTTCTTACTCAATCCAATTTAACCGCTAAAATGATCCGTTGAAAAAATACAAATGACTGTTACTTTATGCAAGATTCCAATCTTTCGTACAATAATGCGAACATTTGGTTAGCCAATGAGACTCATACAAAGTGACTTCTATTTTGGACACCCGAATCCAAAGAATCCCAAGTCCCGATTCCAGTACATTTCGCATTAAACATATCATTAATAATGCAACTCGAATAATAATAATGCACCACTCTCCAATAGTAACAATAATAAAATAAAAAACTAGTACAGTAATTTGAAAAAGAAGGGTTTGACGTAAGATTTCATTTCTCGTTAACATGAATCAACGGTTCAGATCCATTCCTCAGTTTTAGGTTCTTGTTTTATCTTCTTAACCTTCTCTCACTCTCTCACAAAACCTTCTTCATCAATCTTCTTTTTCTTCTAGCTTAATTTAGTAACAAAGAAAAAGAAGAAGAAAATGATGTTAGGGAAAAGACCTCGTCCTCCAATGAAAAGAACAACAAGCATGTCAGAGATAACCTTCGATCTGAACACAATAACACCAGAAGATGATCCCAACAACAACCTCTTCACTCCTAACGGACCTGGTGTTGGTCCCTTCGCTCCGTATCCATCATATCCACCAATTTCTCCTGGAACCAACGGTTCAGATCAAACCAGGCTTTTAGCCACAGTTTCACCCAGAAACCCTAGAAGAAACTCATCTGATATGACTCAAACCCCTGATTTCTTACGTTCTTGCTTTCTATGTAAACGCCGTTTAGTACCCGGCCGTGACATCTACATGTACAAGTACGTTTTATTTTACTCTCTATGTTTCCGTAATTCTTTTAATTAAATTCAGCGTCAATCACCACCGACTCTCTCGGACTAAACCATACTTAGATAATTGTTTGTTATTATTTTTTTAATTAATACATTTGTGTGTTAATTGAGGATTAGTTTTGTGAAAATTGCAGAGGAGACAGTGCTTTCTGCAGTTTAGAGTGTCGTCAACAGCAGATGAATCAAGATGAGAAGAAGGATAAGTGTTGTGTGGCATCAAAGAAACAAGTTGTTGTTGCGGCGGGTTCTAAGGTTACTACAAAGAGTGAAAAAACCGCGGTTGCCACAAGTTTGTAGCATATCCAAACAAGGATTAATTGATGGCATAAGATTTTAATTACTCATATGTCCTTGCGCTTTCATATCAGTAAATTATTATTTAAATATGTTAATGTTTATATTTATAAATACCTAGCTTCTTTATTTTCTCTATGATTTCATCTCTTTCGAATTTTGTTCCTTTTTGTTTGGTTTTGTAATTTTCATCTTGGCTTGAGTGGTTATCCACTTTTTGCTTATTCATAGGCCAGTAATTTTTAAGCAACGAGTGTATTTTCCTTTGGATTTTGACTCATAACATGTAAAAAGAAAAAAAAAATTAAATTGTACTATTAACTCATATGAGGAAAAATTGCATGAGCACTAAAATGAGATTTAAGAGATTCTTTCGGCTTAACCACATTTTCTGCGTTTGAATTCAGTTTTGAGTATATGACATTGTTAAATTCTTTTATGTGAAAATTTTATCATTTATAATTGTTATTTTCAATTTGGAGAATTAATCTCTAAGGTTATACGCAAAAATGATACTCTCATCTCATCTTAGAGATTTTCAATAGTGGATTATTAATTGTATATTTTGTGTGGAAATTAAGGATGATGATGGGTTTGGGAAGTCTTTATATACTGTCATCACTCCACTGAATTTTTTTTTTTGAGTTGAGATGATAAAAATTATGTGACTTACGTAATCTGAGTCCTGACCCTTGAATTTTAAATTAAAAGTATTTAGTTTTTTATTGTTCAATCAATAATAATAAATGCACATGATGTGCTTTAGACACCGAATCTTTTTGATGTTTATAATTAATATTAGTATGTGTCATAATCGTAATATTGATGCTTAAGCCTATTAGTTTTAAACAAATTATTCATGTACATCCAAAGTTTTATACTTTGTATTCTTTTGACGGGAGGTTTTATACTGTATATAATTTCTAAAATGTGTGTAAATCAAAAAAAAAAAGAAAAGAGAGGTTGTTATAAACACTTATAGTATTGACGCATAGAATTATTAATACAAATCAAAGAAAAAGTTTGACGCATAGAAATTCGAGAGCTCTCAAATCGGAACTTCAAGGCGTGAGTGAAATAGAATTGGAGCATTTCTTTTCTTTCTTTCCCCCGAATCAACCGAATTCAACTTGTAAGCAAATCAAATCGTGGATAGTTGTGCATGAATCAAAGGAAAATTGCATAGCACTTTAAACATTTGGTACTTTTATCATCCACTAGATGATGCCAAGCAAGTGGTTGGAAAATTGTTGTTAAAGATATTCAGATATAAAATTTTATATTGAAATATTCTAAAATTTTGTCTTCTTAAAATTGATTGTTACATCCTGAGCCACTAGTCGGACATTATTTTTAGTTACATTTTATGTTCTAATATAAAATTATTGTTAAAAATATTCAGATATAAAATTCTATAATGATATATGATCGTATATGATCAGAATGGACCGTCACAGTTAGCTTGAGCAGAAGTTGAGTGAGATTGGAGTATCTGCAAGACACTCTGATGTCATAGTAAGTTGTGGAATGAGCAAGCAATCGTGAGAGTTAGAAAGTGTTGAATATCTGACCTTCTCAGAAGAGAGAGTATTTATAGCCCCCAGTGCTGGGTTAAGGTCCCCATTATTGGGCCACGTTGAGGCCCAATAATGGGAACTGCCAGGACTTACGTGTGTATGAAGTCCACCAAATGGACTCCTTCCTGGTCAACTGCTCCGTGAGAATAGGGGTTGGACCCGTGATTCCCAAAGGGCAGTTAAGATGACTGACATGAGGATGTGGGTCACGTTCCCCAACGGATATGTGGGGAGTTGCCCAACGGTCTCCAACTTGGGTTGTTTGTTCTTTGGGCCTTATGGTTTGGGCCTCCTATCCGAGGAGCAAGTGTAGGCCCAGTCCAAATCATGAGTCTCCTAAGTTATTGTCCTTGAGCGAAAGGGTGATGACTTAAGTTCAGCTTTCATGGCCTGAAGACTTGATCGGGAAGGACAGTCAGAGTCATTCGAAAGGAACGGGTTGTTGCCCGCATGGGGGACAACCTGTTTAAATGTGTCGGGGATATTATGGGTGAACGAGGAGTGAGTCCGAAGAGGTCTATTGCCTGCTTGAGAGGACCGTATTAGTTACGGGGAGCCTCCACGAGATCTCTTTCGATGTGTCCGTCTCTAGGGAGTTGTTTGAGATGTCGAACATTATTTCATCCTTGAGGTAATTGAATAGATGTGCCCGTGTGTGCGCCATATCATCGAGCAACCTCCCGTGTGGGGTATCTGCCTCGTGGTCGTATGGGGATTACGCGTTGGAGTCAGGGATATGCTCGTTGATCTAGAAGAGACACATGGTTGACTGTTGAGCCACGTGGCTAATGCTTTAGGGTGTCACCCCTTCAAGGGGAAACCCAAAAGGCCCAATCAAATGTTGACTTTTCGTGATGGACCTCGTGGGGCGTGAGTCACCTATAAAAAGGGGGCCCTGGGTCTTCATTTGTCATTTTCTCAAGTTCTCCTCCAACTTCTCTTGCTCGTGCGTAAAGTTATCTTCTAAACTTTCCCATATTTTTTTCTCCAAGAGTTCCTTATCCAAATAAGTTATATCCCCTTAACAACATGTTTCTTCAGCATTTCTGGATTAAAAATCTAAAATTTGCCTTGGCTGGATGAATATTTGAGTTTTATGATGAACACTCATAAATGTTCATTGAAGTTCATGAGTTCTGTGACAAACACTCATGAATGTTCATTGATATTCATTAGTTATGGAATTGAGGGAGATCTCCCCGAATAGTGGCCATGACATAGGGGACGTTCTCCCCGGATAACAGGGATTGTCTCGGGCTTCTTGCTCGGTGAGAGAACATCCCCCATGACAACGTAATCTCCCAATGAAAACGTAGTCTGCTTTAGCGTGTAGTCGAGGGATTGGGTCAAGTTCGTCGCCCTTTCACTTGATCTGCGCTGAAAGGATGGATTTGATAATGTCGAATTCACTGTTTTCCCCTGCTTTTCATGTATAATGGCGCACTCAGTCGGGGATGACATTCTTGCTGCCAACTATGAAGACGATCCATAAGGTCACGAGGACCCTCTGGCTTGGGTTGCTCTTGAGCCCCGAAATAAACGGTCGTGCTTTTCTTAGGATACGACGGACGCGTTCAATTTTCTGGAGGTACGGGCGGAAAGGGGCCCCCACCAAATGGATGCTCTAAATTCCCCACTGTGATCGGTGGAAATAGAACTGACTGTTTTTTAAGCTGGTTTCGCGAAATGTCGCGGTAAGCAAGAGTCGCCACCGTCTTTTATGTTCTCCAACATGGAAAGGACAGAAGCACAGCAAAATTCCTTCTTTGAGAATGTTTCTCGGTTCGGGAGGTAGATTTATAGAAAGGGAAGGTGTTAGCACCCTTTCTATCCGTGGTTATCCACGGGCTCTTAGGTACTTGCTCTTATGTTTTCAAAATTTGTTTGCTTTTCAAGTGTGTGTGGGTTTTGAAAAAGTTCGTTTGAAAAACTTCTAAGTAACTCTTGTATCAGTCCTCAAGAGTGTATGAAGTGTTTTATTTGAAAACTTTTTTGAAAGTATGGGTGCGAAAAGTTGTTTTTGTTTGTTTTGAAAGAGCAAGTACCTAGGAGAATCTACCTACTCTAAGGAATTAGGCTGTGTAAGAGTCCTTTAGATAGTGCTATCCCACCATTGAGAGGTAGGTAGCACTGCCGTTGGAGGTATTCGGGTCAATTTGATTATGAGGGACATGTGGTCACCAAAGCAATGGTAGGACGCCTTAGTGGTAACCCTAATGTCCTAGATCCTTTTTATCCGAGGCAACTGTTTCGAGGAAACTGGATCTTTGGACAGGAGGGCGACCTCTAAAACACCCTATACTTGACGACCACGTTCGAGGCAACCAGTGAGGCGTACCCTAGGAGTGGCATGTGCATGTGTGTTGTTTTTTCAGTTAATGTCTTGTACATGTTATTTGTGAGCTACGGATTGATTTTATTTTTCATGCATTCTTACAGGCATATTAACAGTTCAATGATTTGCAGGAGATAAAGTGCGGAAAGGTAAATCTAGCTATTACAAGGCGCGGGTCTATACATCGCCAAAAACAAAAACCCGTTTGGAAATAAAGTGCGAGAAAAGTAAATAAAGCGGTAAAACCTAATTAACTATTACATTTCCAGAAGCAGTTACATAAATATAATGAATTAAAAAAAAACGCGCGAAAGAATGAATCGGGACGTCCTAAGGGTTTTGACCCTTTTTGAGAAAAGAATTGAGTTTGTCCTTCTTTATTAAATTAATGAAATTAAACCTAATTACTAATTAATTAATTAATTAAAGAAAAAAATATTTTTGTGTTTTTGTGTTTTTAATGAAAATAAAGAGAAAATAAATAGAAATTAAAAGTTAGCAAAAATCTAATTCTAAATTGTTTTTTTATTTATTATGAAAAAATTAAAGTTGACCTAATTTTTGAAAGACTAAATTAATTAACCATATTTATTTACAAAATAATTGAACTAAAGTGAAATTAATAAATAAAAAAATATTTACATTTTTTAGTTTTTAAATTTTTATTATGAAAAATTAATTATGTTAATTTTAGTGATAAAAAGTAATAATTAGAAAAATAATTAATAAACAAACAAAAAAAAAAATATAAAATAAGAAGAAGAAAAAAAGGAATGAACCAAAAGGGGGGGATGGGGGGGGGTATTGGACCCAAAGGAGGTTTTGAAGAAGCAATTCTGGCCCATTTGTTGGCCAGTCCGTTTGGACTTTTGAGATCAGCTATGCCTGCGTTGACTGAGGACTATTGTGGTCCTTCAACATGAGCCATGGGATTTGCCTTGGAGGCCACCTGGCGCTTGGATGAACAAGGTGTACGATGGAACACGCTTAGTAGCCTGCATGTGAACATATGATGGAAAAAGAGAAATAATTATTTGGGGGACCTGGGAATCGAACCCAGGTCCCAATGGTGAATGTCCACCTCACTTTCC